ACATTAAATAATACACATTAAATAATACTAGTTAAATAATACACATTAAATAATACACATTAAATAATGCTAATTAAATAATGCTAATTAAATAATGACAATTTAATTATTATAAATTAAATAATGCAAAATAAATTGCAAATTAAATAATGCACATTAAATAATACAAATTGAATAATACAAATTAAATAATACAAATTAATGCAAATTAAATGGTACAAATTAAATAATACACATTAAATAATACATATTAAACAATACATATTAAACAATACAAATTAAACAATACAAATTAAATAATGCAAATTAAATAATGCAAATTAAATAATGCAAATTAAATAATACAAATTAAATAATACAAATGAATGCAAATTATATAATACAAATTAAATAATACAAATTAAATAGTACAAATTAAATAATACACATTAAATAATACAAATTAAATAATACACATTAAATAATACAAATTAAATAATACAAATTAAGTAATTCAAATTAAATAATACATATTAAACAATACATATTAAACAATACAAATTAAACAATACAAATTAAACAATACAAATTAAATAATGCAAATTAAATAATGCAAATTAAATAAAACAAATTAAATAATGTCAATTAAATAATGCAAATTAAATAATACAAATTAAATAATACAAATGAATGCAAATTATATAATACAAATTAAATAATACAAATTAAATAGTACAAATTAAATAATACACATTAAATAATACAAATTAAATAATACACATTAAATAATACAAATTAAATAATACAAATTAAGTAATTCAAATTAAATAATACAAATTAAATAATACAAATTAAATAATACAAATAACCATCAGACCGTGGAGTTTTAATAACACTGTAAGCTCATCACGACTCTATAAAAAGTATGTTTTAGAGGATAAAAGGATACATCTTCTGGACTGGGTTGTGTTTCCTGTGTAGTACTGTGTGTACTTGTACCTGCTGCATGTGACCCAGGATGTTCTTCCTGCAGTCGAACACTCCTCGACCTTCCTCGGAGTACAGCTGGTAGATGAAGTCAGTGGTGAAGTTCTCGTTGCTGTTCTCGTTTCTAAAACACACAAACGTCACATTTTTCACAAACTGAAAAACACTTGCAGGAAAATGTGGTTCCAAAAAGGTCAGCGCCCTTAAATGGCAGGAAGAAGTAAAAACACTCGGTTTTTTTTTATGTTGATGGAAAAAAGACTTGAATCTTTGTGAACAGAGCTGGACCTCCTGTACCTGGTACCAAATAAACCTCACAAGGTAAAATAATTTAAAAAATCAAGTTCCAGGTAAAAGGCTCAACGAAGAACAACCTTAAAAAACCTACAAGAACCAGAGCATAAAGCTGATTCTGCAAAGAGAAGCACCAATGCAGCACGTGCTTGTGACACAAAGCTGCTGGTAATTATAGCCCCCACATTAATATAAATGTAATTAATTTTAAAGTAACAGACTTGTATGTGAGATGATCAGGTTTTAACTGCAGGCAGGAGGTGCCGAACGTTTGGTTTTCATGTTTAGACACTCGTCTTGCTCCTCTGTGCTTCAGATTGTCTTGTAGATTTAAAAAGTGCGTGCAACTTGCTGCACTGGCTCACAAAGTCACCTTCACTCAAAGTGTCCTATTTTCACAGACCTTCATCCTGCTGGAAGTATTTTAAACACCGACGCGCTGCAGTGGACTAAAATAACCACAATGCAGCAACAACGTATGAAGAATCGCTGATGCATGGAATGGATAATTAAATGATTTTAATTAAATTTTAACAGTAATTTCAATTGAACCCCTTCTCCATGTTGTCATCATCCATCCAAGTTTTCCTTAGGATGAAACAGTTGAAAGCCTCACAAACAGGAAGAGCTTTGAAATCTGACTGAAAACATAGAAGAGGATGAAACTCACCGGAGCACCAAGCCTCTCTGGATGCTCGTCTTCATTTTCTGCGTCAGATGTTCGACGTTGTTCTGGGAACGAAACGAGGCTTTGAGTCAAAGTGAAGAAAACCTGCAGCCTGCACGAGCAGCCCAAAGAGTCTGACACGTCACTCTGGAGAGAGAGAGGCGCAGTGGAGCGCGCTCACCACCAGGGGGCGCCAGACACACACTTCTCTACTTTTTTTTATTTTTATTTTAAATATATGTGCTTACAGTTGTTAATGCTTGACATGTGCATTTTCACAATTTTGATCTATAATCCTACTCCTTATTCTGGAAAAGTCTGGTATAACACAAAATAAGACAACCTAAATTTAAGAGCAAAAAGTCAAACTAACTGGTCTTTAACAAGAATCTAATCTAATCTGAGCTCTGTTTTAAACAACCTTTATCCCTTCTTGTCCTTTTCAGTGTGCCACCGTCTCCAAGCAGTATAACGATTTCAGGTGTTGTGAACCTCCCCGTCACTCCTAAAGATCTCCAAATCGCCCCTGACCATCCGCTCCACCGCGCCTCCTCCCTGTCCTTCACCTCTCTCGTGTTCTGCTCGTTGTTTTGGATGGTTGACCCTTAAACTCATCCACCTCTTGTGCTTGCAGCGTCACCATCTTACCTGTCTCCCTCTCTGTCTTCTGACTTTTTTCTCTGCAGAGCTTACCTCCACATCCCCAGGCTCTCTTCCACCTGCTCCCTACTCTCCCTACAGATCAGTGTCATCTGCAAACATCATAGTCCAAGAAGACTCTGCCGGACCTTCTCTGTCAGCCTGTCCGTCACCATTATTAAATATCTACAGGATAATATCCATAAAGCTTTAGGAAGTGATTCTGGAAATGATAAAGGTTTGTGCTCTGACCTGCAGGTCATGGATGTCAAACTGCTCCTCGTAGATGTAGACGGTGTCGGCCCCCGCAGCCAGACCGCCCACCGTGGCCAGATAGCCGCAGTAGCCCCCCATGGTCTCAATGATGAAGACCCTCCGCTTGGTGCCGCTGGCCGACTGCTTGATGCGGTCACACGTCTGATTCCCACACAGGTTAGAAAGTTATCAAAGGAGCGATTTAAGCTCTGTGTGGGCGTGCAGCTGTGAAACATGCAGCTTAAAGCAGAGCTGGAACAAATCTAACAGCACAACACTCATTTATTTTTGTTAATATTTAAAAATTGGCTAATTGGCTTTTATGTATGTGGATGTTCCTGCAAAGTGCCCTGAAACAACTTTGTTGTGATTTGGCGCTATATAAATAAAATGAATTGAAATTAATATAAAAAGTAGTTGCAAGCAGCCTTTTCTACACGTTAAGACTAAGGTCTGAATTCATTATTTGAGTCAGTTTGGCGCGACGTACTGCACCTTTTTCATGGACTGAACGATAATAAAATGTCAGATGTGGGTCAGATGAGCAGCAGCTCTGCTTTAAATCAGATAAATAAGCTGCAAGTGATGCACAGGTTTAAATGTCAAATGTTTCTGCAGTAAAACAGTAAGATGTGGCTCTTAAAAGAGTCTTATTGACCTTTACGTAAACACATGTCTGAAATGTCTTTAAATCATAAATAATTAGTCAACCTGTGCATCTCTTTGTTCTTATCAGACGAGTGGAGTTCACCAGATCAGAACTTTTAACAACATGCAGTCACGTCCAAAAACAAATGGTCTCTGCTGGCCTAATGGTTTCCAGCTCCACCCCCCTTTATTTTTATTTTTTTGGCAAACGTCACTCGTCCATAAGAGCGCATACATAAGCAAAAGTCCAACAGTCACAGTGGCTTTAGACACAGATGCAACCACCTAACAGCCGAGCCCACACTTTACTGCTGGCTCAGTAAAACACTCGAGTACTCACTGACATGCAGGTGCAGTCTGGTCCGTCTTAAAACAGCAGAATCTGTTTCATATTTCAGGACTGACTCTGGGTGTTGTACGTGAAAGGCTCAATCCAGGCTGCTCCTGGCAGCTCTGACCCCCTGAAACTGGGCTATTCAACTGGTGGCCCGGGGACCAAGTCAGGCCCAATGGTGAGCTCAGTTCGGTCCACCAATGGGTTAATTTTTTAATAAAACTAGATTTTAAACCATAAAACAAACTCATTTAATGACAATAACTGTTGGATTTCTGACCCCTGACCTCTTGACTTTCAGTAATTGTGGCCCCAGTTGAACAGCCCTGATCTAAATTATACATTTTGAAGATATTCTGCATTTTCTTTTGTCTCTGTTGCTTTTGTCCATTTGTCTTATGTAAAGTTATAATATCCGTCTCTTTTTCAAAGTTTTTGGTTCAAATCTGCACACGTGCATCATTTATTACATACAAACACTAAATGTGCATCATTCACCACAAGTCATATGTAATAAATGAGCAGAATTAGCAGAGTGATGTTTGAGGCCAAAATAAGAAACGTTTGGTTTGGACCGTTTTGGCGCACGGCCAATAATGAGCTGTTAAAACAATCCCCGGATGTGAACAGGGTCGGACGCAGAACAACGGAATCAGAGCGGGTCCAAAAGGTGAAAGTCCTTTTCCTTTCTGTTCTGAAAAATAGGTTTTTTTTTTTATTTAAAAAAAGCTGCTTCTTTTCAGAAGGCAAGGAATATTTACATTTACCCAACAAGATTTTTACAAAAACCCTGATGAGTTTAAGCTAGAGCACCGGTACCCTAAAATAATAATTTAATGATCCACAAAATTGTTAGAAACTGAAACATTTGAAATATCCTGATGCATGCTCAATAATCCAGGTAGAAAAATCTAAAATAAAAGTTAAATCTGGTCCTCTGGACGTTCATTTAGTTTTGTTTTTGAATGTCCAGAGGACCAGATTTAACTTTTTTAGATAAAAAATAGAATTAAAAAGCTGAATAATCCTGCATTCTGACAGCTACTATGGCTCTAAGCACCTGTTTTATGTGCCTTTCTTTTTTGTGTTTGTGGAAGAGTGGACCTGTTCTGTTTTCAGTCATGTGTGGAAAAATTATACCCAGGTATGATCTGACTTTTCATAAGAGCGAGAAGAAACACTGAAACAGAACTCCTGGGGCCTGAAACACTTTGGATGAACTCTAATTTATCAGGTGATATTAATCAATTTCCTCATTATTTGCAACACTTCAGACATTTTGACGACATTTGAGTTAATTTCTTGCCATTAAAATACAGTAGTCCCTCGTTTATCACTGGGGAGCCGTAACCTCAAACCCCGCGATAAAGTTAAAAACCGCAAAGTAGGATTACTAGTACAAGTAGTAATTAATTAATTTTAGTATTTATATATTTTTAAGGTGTTTTGAACCCTTCCACACTCTTTCAATATCCTAAACAATGTTTTTTAAACTCTAAACGCTCTAAAAAAACCCAGAATATCATGATCTCAGCTCTCTGCCTCTGCTGCTCTCAGCCACCTGCAAGCGCTCTTGGCCACGCCCACTTCTCTGCTCTGCACGGAGAACAGCTGATCAGCTGCAGCAGGAAGTTTATCCTGCAGTGTGGGAGGTGCTAAATAATTTAAAATAATTAATTTGAAATAAAAAGTCCATGCCGATCGTGCGGCTCATCCGTCAATCAGCCAGTTGTGTGTCGTGTCCAATCTTGTTTTGAAAAACCACAACAGAGCGAGTCCGCGATAAACGAACCGCGAAGTAGCGAGGGACTACTGTACTATTGTACTACTGTACTACTGTACTACTGTACTACTGTATGAAGACTGGATGAAAAAACAAAGTAAACACAATTCACTCAGTTTCCTCTGATCGATGGTAAACATGACGTCAGCTGTTCGTGACTGAATCTAGGCAGAACTTTCCAGTCGTATTTCTTTACCTGTTCAGCCTGATGTAGGTCAGTCATGTGACTCAAGACAGACTGGTTTACATTGAGTGTGGACCCCCATTTCAGTTGAGCAAACCCATATACCCATAAAACTACTGACGTAAACTCTATTTGCAGTTTTCCATGTAGTTAAGGAGAACCTTTCTGCTGGTTTGACTTCATGTTGAGTACAATGGGCCCTTACCTCCACGATGGCGTTGAGGGACGTGTCGGCTCCCAGACTGAGGTCATTGCCAGGAACATTGTTACTAATGGTAGCAGGCAGAATGCACATCGGGATGCAAAACTCCTCGTAGTGGGCCCGGGCCTGGTGGAGCTGCAGCACGGACTCAAAGGCCTGATGATGGTGGTCGTAATAAGCAGTTAGACCACAGGGGGAGTGGGGGGGCATATATGTCTAAGTATGTTCTTCATGGTCTCCCTCATCCTGTATCCTGAGCATGTGTTGTGTTTAAACTGAACTGCGTCAGCGCTACATGCTGAAATAAAACATTGTGTCCAAAATATGCAGCACATTAAAAACACTTTTCTACGTTATATTTAAAAAAAATGCTCCGTGACATTTAACACTTCTGGAACTGCCTCACTAACACTTTTCAAGAGTTTTATAGACAAGCATTTGGTTGAAATGCACTAATTATTCATGGAAATAGAATTTCAGAGAATGTTCTGGACAGTAAAATGGACAGTCCTATTTATTAAAAGTTGGTGTGTAAAATGTAAATAACAACAGAAGTGTGTCTTAAACCTGTCTATAATTAATAATGGAACATTGTGAACGTGTCTCAAAACAGTCGGATGATGGGGCAACAAAAGGCTGTAAAAGTAAGTGGTACAAATGAGAAACAGCTGGAGAAGCATTTTGCAGCTAATTAGGGAGGAGCTCTGGCTTCTCATTGGCTGAGAGGGGAATGGGGGCGGGGCTCATCGTGACTGACAAGTAAAGGTGCTGAAGCAACACGATGAACGGAGGTTGTGTTACGAAGGCCTCGTCTCCATTTGTGTCCAACAAACAAGAAGTTCTGCTTCGGGACAATCGGCGTGCACGCCTCCAAACAAGTTCTGTGTCATTCAGAGGAGAACCGACCCAGACCACACCCAGTGAGCGGCACAAACACGTAAAGGACACGTGTCACAGACATGCAACATGCTCTAACTCTTATCTGGGCCTCGTGCTGACCAGCCCGCCTCCAGCAACAAACAGCTTCTCTGCTGTCTGACCTCTGGCTCCGACATTTTCTGTTTTCTTAACACGTACTTCTACTGTACGGCTGTGATCTGTTACCGTCACGACACGGGTTTATCTGCGCAGAGGTCGGTTTCTTCCATTTAAAGGTCAAAGCTTGAAGCTAAAAGGTCGAAATGTGTCGTGCGTACGTCTCAAAACTGAACTAAATAAAGATTTAGCAGATTTAGGATCGCAGCACACAACTGGGAGAGCAGAGTAATAAAAGTTTTCCGCTTGATGAAACCGGATCAGGTCCAAGTCTGAAAAATTCTGTTTTCACTGAAAGTTTGTTAAACCAGAACAAACTGCATCAAAAGGACATCACAGGTTTGTGTTGAAAAATCATCTAAAGTGTTCCTGTTTATAATCTGTATTTATTAATCACAGAATCAATATTTTATTTTCCTTATTTTAATATTAGAAAAGGTTTTGTTACTAAGGAGCGTTTAAGCTTTAATTACTGTTAAGACTATTGTTTTTAATATTGGGTTTATTTTATAGGGACGTAAACAAATTTGATGAATTATTAACAAGAATTTAGATTTAATGACACGGTGGTGCAGTTGGTAAAGCTGCCACCTCTCTGCAAGAAGGTTGCTGGATCGAATCCCAGCCAACAGGCCACTCTGGGTGCAGTTTGCATGTTCTCTCCGTGATGTGTGGGTTTTCTCCTGTTTCCTCCCACAGACCAAAAACATGCATGTTAGACTGATGGTAACTCTAATTGTCCCTAGGTGAGAGAGAGAGAGAGAGAGAGAGAATGGTTGTTTCGTTTGTCTCTATGTGTCCCTGTGATGGACTGGAGACCTGTCCAGGGTGTCCCCCGTCCCTCGTACAGTGACTTCGGTTATTCAAGCATAAGTAAGTTACCAGTTGGTGGAGGGACAAACATCTGTCGGTGAAATCTTTACTGGGTTAGAGTCAGTTTGACTCATTGGACGGTCTGACCTGCACATTTAGAACCAGTTGTTTGCTGCTAATCCTAAACATTCATCTCTAATCAGAATAAATAAATAAAAACAATTGTGCACCGTGCAGATGTTCGAGTCTTTCCTAAGTTGTTAAGTTTGTGGAAGCGAGCCGTCGGTCAGCAGAGCCCCAAACTTACCGCCTGGCTGGCGTGTGAGCGTCACACGACAAACATTCACATGCAGCCGAGCCCAGCCGCACTTACGTCAGTAATGGCATTCAGAGCGGTGTCTGAGCCAATGCTGAGGTCTGAGCCGGGTATATTATTGGAGACGGTCGCAGGGATCATGACCATGGGCACACAAAGCTCTGAGTACGTGTCCCGGGCTGAGGAGAGCTCCAGTAATCCCAGGTAGGCCTGCAGCAGCGAGAGCCGGCGTGGATTGGTTGTTGTTCAGGACGAGAAACAAATAAAGTGCAAAGTGAAGAAAGAATCATCCAGAAGGTGGGAAAGATGTGATCACTCACTGTGAACTACCGTACTTTCTGCCGTGCACGTCGCATCAGTCCAAAAATGTCTAATAAAGTGGAAAAATCCATAAATACGTCACTTCTATTAGCGTCACCGCGGAAACGTGGGCCGGTGTTGTGGCAAAAATCGATTGCCTGCCAAACGGTGGCCAGGGGAGCGTGCACGGGAGGACTTTAACAAGAATTTAACGAGATTAACACTTAAAAACAATTATTTGTTCGCTTGAAATTACAGCAAAGGTGTGTCTCAGTCTAACTTTTCCTTAATAAATGCACTTTGACGGTAAAATCAGCTGCATTT